AGAAGAGCATTTCACAACATTCATGGAAATTCCGTTGATGGGAGAACCGAGTTCGAATCCCAACAATCGCTGCTCCATACGAATTCCTCATCCAGCGTGAAATATCCTCTGTGGGAGACGGATCATGGGTTACAGTCCCCTTGCCGTCAGGCCAACAGTGGAAGGTTTCGTGGTTTTCCTCTCCATATAGCGCAAATGCGTGTTAGTTCCATCAAAAAGTCCTCCAAGAAGGCAAATTTCTCCCACTACTTGATCCAGGAGTTCCCTTGTCTTCTGGACTGGGTTCAAACTGACAAGGTTACGGAGTTGAACATTGATAGCTGTAAACTGAAATTTCGGTCTGATGTTTAGCGACGGTTATCGATTATAAATTTTTTAAATTTATTTACATTAAAAATGCTATATATATATATATATATATATATATAGCATTTTTAATGTAAATAAATTTAAAAAATTTATAATCGATAACCGTCGCTAAACATCAGACCGAAATTTCAGTTTACAGCTATCAATGTTCAACTCCGTAACCTTGTCAGTTTGAACCCAGTCCAGAAGACAAGGGAACTCCTGGATCAAGTAGTGGGAGAAATTTGCCTTCTTGGAGGACTTTTTGATGGAACTAACACGCATTTGCGCTATATGGAGAGGAAAACCACGAAACCTTCCACTGTTGGCCTGACGGCAAGGGGACTGTAACCCATGATCCGTCTCCCACAGAGGATATTTCACGCTGGATGAGGAATTCGTATGGAGCAGCGATTGTTGGGATTCGAACTCGGTTCTCCCATCAACGGAATTTCCATGAATGTTGTGAAATGCTCTTCTTATTTTTGAATTTTTTTTTATACTTTTGTACACAACCCAGATATCAAAGTAACTTTTAATTTAAATACAGGAGTAAAATTATTTTGAAAGACTGAATGAAAATAATTCGAATCATGGTTTCTTATGTTGGTCACCATGAAAAATATAATGGTTCATGATGGTTATCATCAAGATTCTGTGGGTCCATCAATGGATAACCATCAAAAATTTCAACTCATTGTTTCAATTGTTGATCAACTCATCAACTCATTGAAATCAATTGTTTCGAATGATTGGGGCACGCAGAGTGCGTACCACACCGTGCCATCCTCCCAGCCAGTACCGTCTTTACGCATGGCCACATCCGGGCAGGCCTCAAGTACTCAGGGGGCCCTTCGCAATCTAACTTCTTATTGTATTAAAACACTAAGAATAAACATTTATTAGCTAGTTGTAGTTGTAGTTCATTTACGTCGCACTAGAGCTGCACAATGGGCTATTGGTGACGGTCTGGGAAACATCCCTGAGGATGATCCGAAGACATGCCATCACAATTTTGATCCTCTGCAGAGGGGATGAACATTTATTAGCATTATTTAATTTTAAAAATTAGTATATTCTATGGTATAAATTATCTTTATTTTTTTCTCTATAAACAGTGATAGATTATCATGCAAATAACTCTGAAAATCATACTGTTTCTAAATATGCTTGACCATCACCCACTCTGTTTTGTATTTATAATGAGTTAAATAAAGTAATAAAATTGAAAGAGTTCAGAATGACACATGGGTGAACAACTGGTTATGTCTGTTTTGCATTGAAAGATGTTTTAATAACTGTCTTATAAATAATTTGACGAAATAATTCATACCTTTTGAAATTATTTTTATTTGTAATAACCCAATGTTTTCTTAAATTTAATTAGCTTCTTGGTTTTGAAAATTGTTTTATTGTTTGAGGATTACAAATGGTTAGCCTTTTTAAATTTTTTTAAAAATATATTCTGCACATAGGGGTTCTGAATTAAAAGTTCGCATTTTAATGTAGGACCACACCTTTAAAAATGCTTTATTTTATGTGCATTGAGTTTTTGGGGGTAATAAATAGATGTTAAAATTATTAAATATCTTAAAAATGCTTTATTTTATGCATGTGAAGTTTAAACAGTATGCTATGGGGGCGTAAAACGACCGGGGGCCCTTCCTGCTGTTAAGCCTACCCTGCCTCCAGCAATGAGCCATAGACTTGTTTTTACGGAGTCTGAATGCCATTTTATTGTTAAATGGGTTGAATCTCTTGTTTTCTTTGGACTCAGATCTGACCTGGGTTGCACCAGCAGAAAACCTTTACATCAAAATGAGTTTTTGCAAAGACTGAGAACTTGCTGTCAGACCTGAGACCGGGTCAAACTTCTTCTCCCCAAACTTGCAAAAAAATGTTCGTCCATCTAACTAAAATATTTTTGGGAAAGAAGACTGCTTCTACGATGGACCATGTAAAGTTGTTGAGTGATCAGTGAATACTCTGGATATTCATTGAAAAACATCAGTTATCAGCAGGGCGGATTAAGCTTACGCGGGGCCCTAGGTCATTCAAATTTTTGGGGCCCTTGGATTAAACTTTTTTCTCGTATATTTTTTTAATTTTTTCAAATGTAAAAGTATTTATATATCTTTTCATTTAAGAAAGCATATTTAAAATAAAAATAAAAAATAATGAATTAAATTTTACTTCATTTTATGAAGTTAGAACTAAAAATTAATCATAACATTTTGAAAAAATTTGAAAAATCGTTGTCTTTCTTAATTTTTTAAATTTTATTTTCAAAAAACCCATTTCAAGGGGGCCCCTAATCATTGGGGGCCCCAGGCCATGGCCTATTCTGGCCTAATGGGTAATACGGCCCTGATTTTCATTGTCGACCGATTCAATCTCAAAGACGTTGAGCGACCTCTGACAACTCCAATCACCCCACCTACACTATGTGGCAAAATGTATCCCGGATGGCATAATGGTGTGAGGGTGTATCACGTGGTTTATCCTAGGTCCGTTAGTTTCAGTGTTTGGAAACATGAACTCTCAGATGCATGTGGACAATGCTGCACTCTTCCATTCACACATTGAGGCTTCCATAGACGTGGTTTTACTTTCGGTAAACCTTTTAAACGGACCTAGGATAAACCACGAGAAATACTCCCCACACCGTAATGCTTCCACCACCCTAACATCCGGGATTATTTTTGGCCAGATAGTGTAGTATTTTCCACATTCACTTTTAAAGTCAAATGCTGCTCTAGATGCTATCCTCAAGCAATATTCGGAAGTATCTTTGCTTTAGCTCGTCTTGGAATAATTCTTAGATGTCTTCGCGATAAGTTTATTTAAATATTCCCAAATAAGCATTTCGAAAAGAATGTCGTTGATACTACTGAATGACTGTTAAATGGTAATTCGTTTGCATGTAACAAGCAAAACATTGGTGTTTTCTTCCGCCTCCTTATCTATGGCAACACTTCGTATGATTTCAACATAGATATGTTTATAACATTAGCATGGTCATACTGATCGATGATTCCTAGTAGATCACCGAAATCACTGGATACGGATGGCTGACCACTTGGATAAGTCTGCGAAGTCACCGGAGACCACGGAATCACGTGCCAGGGGATCGCGATCACGATCAAATTTAATAGATTATGAGACTCAGCCCTTTCTAAGATTACAATTTTTCACTCAATATTTGAGTAATGAAATTCTGATTAAAAAAAATGGATAATTTCATAGCGTGTAAATTTAAAAAATAAATGAATAAATGTCTCTATTTGAAGCGAGCTTTAACATTTCCTTGGTGAAAACTGTTCCAAATTATCCCTTTACTCTTCCCCTCCCCCCTGGAGGAATTATACGTCCCTATTACTGACCCATTGGATGATTCTTGGTTTTAAATGCGACAGCAAACAGATCATTAAATTTGAAAGAAAAAAAAGAAACAATGAAGAAGAATAGGAAAAAATATACCGATAAATGAGTGAGGAATAATTTACTGGTGAACAGTGTACTTTTTTCTTAATTTTAAAAAGATTTGAATTATATAGTTAAAATTGCCAAATTCGAATTCTTTATTGCCATTTTTCAAGGTTCAGATAATTTGGACCCAGTAAATACTAACACACACACACATGTATATATATATATAGAAAATATTAATTGCATTTTGAGTTAGGCATTTCTTTTAACTTGTCCTGTATTTTTCCTTTACACATTATTCTCATCTCATTCAAAATTAACTATTAAAAATAAATTAAAACTATTCAGTTTCGTAACACAATTAGTTTCAGTAACAAAATTTAACGAAAAACGATTAAAAGTACTTATTACATATTCTCTTCTATAATCAAATTTACTTTATTAAAATGATTGCTTACNATAATAGCCCGCATAATTTCTACTAAAATTTTTATTTTTGCCATTTTGTCTGAGCTCAAGGGGGGTGTTTAAACCCCTAAACCCCTCCCTTGCATACGCCACTGTATATATATATATATATATATATATGGATAGATAGATTAAAAATGCTTTAAATATAATTTAATTTTAAAAAGAATATGCATTTCTAAAAATTTATATTCGTATTTTTCTTTAAAGTTTTCAATTCGAAAGGAACTTTAACCGAATTCTATAGCAAAGAAATGCATTTTCTAATTGGTTTTGCCAACATTCTGTAAAACTGGCCTGAATTTAAAATGGTAGCCTTTTCAACACTATTTAACTTTTTTTCTTTCTTTTCCTTTACTATAAAATACACTGTCGTCATTACAAGGAATAAATTTACTGTCTGCAGTTATTCTAGAAGAATTGCTGGTTGGAAAACATATTTTGAGGTGGTTAATATATATTTTCAAACTAGAGTACTAAGTAATACCCATTTCGCTAACGCTCACCCACCCCCATGATTTTATTTTATTATTTTATAACCTTTGTTGAACAGCCGAATCAAATTTTTTTTTTTTGGTTTACGATTACTAGTGAATAATATATATATATATATATATCGGGAGGGAGTGAAGTGATCACTGTTCACATATGCTGCTTCAGAGAGCAAAGGAAACTTACTTCTGTATCGTTGCGTAAAGGAATATTCTAAGAATATTGAGTAATCTATTGTTTGTGAAAAGAAACGTCGGACTTACTTTGTCATTTGCCATCATTTCTCTCGGAGTGAAAACTCTTATCCAAAACACATTTTTCAAAAATAACTCACGCTGCGCAATTCTCCTCTCTCTAATGAGAGAGTTAAAAGAGGTTGATCTCAAGACGTTTTTTTCCCCCTACTCACTTCACCAATTATCCCTACGAAATTCCCTCTCACCTTGACAATGAACGACTTTTTTCATTCTGGCACTTTATCTATCGCACAGTGACGATTGAGAAACGGAATCGATGCCAAAAATCTCAAAACAGGAGTCATCCTGTTACTTTTTTTAAAAAATTATTTAAACCAAAGTTTATTTATTTAGGAAAAAAAAAATTCCATAAATCTACAAGTCTATTGAGTTGAAATTGGGGTGGGTGAGCGTTAGCGAAATAGGGATTACTTAGTCCTCTAGTTTAATTATATATATATAACAGCTCAAGATATGTTTTTAATCACCAATTCTTCCAGAGTAACTGCAGACGGTAAATTTATTCTATGCAATGACAGTGTATTTTATAGTGAAAACAAAAAAGAAGAAAAAAACATTATATAGTGTTAGAAAAGGCTACCATTTTAAAGTCAGGCCAGTTTTACATAATGTTGCCCACCTTTAGAAAACGCATTTCTTTGCTGTAGAATTCGGTTAAAATTCATTTCGATTTCCACAGAATCAATACGAATATAATTTTTCAAAAATGCATATTCTTTTTAAAATTTCTTAAATGTATTTCTATCAAAATAAATATATTTTGTTTATTTTTTCCATTCGCAGTTTGAAAAAATTAATTTCTTAAGAAGATCAAAATATTAAGTAAACAATGAATTATCCACGGTTATAAAATATATTTCGGGAAAAAAATTGTAAATGCTAAAAAAAACTTTTTTTCCTATTAGCATCGATCAATTTATTTAATTTTCTTTATTTCTTTCCTCAACATTGATGCAACCTATTTATCGTTACATAGGCGTTGCATGGGACCACGGAAACCACGAAAAATTCCCTCGGTCAGCCTGACTGCAAGGGGACTCTAACCCATGATCCGTCGAGCACTAAAGATATTTTTCTTGAGCACTATGGTCTGTGAGAACCGAGTTTTGTATCAATCAGCCATCGCTGGGATTTGAAGCTGGGTAACCTCATTGGGGCACTCTATCCTCTAATCCATCGCGGCATCGACACAATCATTTCGCCTATGCGACAGAAGGAAGAAAAAGAAAAGATATAGAAGGAATGATAAGCATCGCTCCATATCTATTTCAGATATGGGGAAACGCTGAAGAGTCGAAACTTTTAGAAAAAAGGGGGGACAACACGTTAGATAGACTTAGTTGCAGTTATTTTAAAAGTAAATTAAATTTAACAACCATGAATAAAAATGAAAGCATTAAATTTGATATAAAATATCCATTAATGGTTAAATAAATTTTAAATTAATTATATTTATATTATTAAGCCGTGTTAATATTCCATTTATTACATTCATTTATTACTCAAGACAAAATGTTAGTTTGTTAGGTGGGTGGTAAATTCGCAATTTTGACATTTCTGTATTTTCTTTATTCTTTTGGTTTATTTTATAGTTAACGTCAGAAATTGCTTCAAATTTTATGTCAATAATTCTCTTTTTTTTTGTCGAAGCACACTTTTAACTATTTCGAAATTTAACGGCACACAAAGAAAAATAAGTTTTAAAAGTTGTTTATTTACCTATAATAATACACTGTGTAAAATAGTTTGTGATAATAATTTTGTATATGAAATAAAGTAAAATTCACTACAAAAACACGTTTATTAAAGGATTAATTAGTTAACTGTTATTTTTCTTTTTCTATTTATTAATTGTTAGCTTCTTTTTATAGTTATTGTTTTTAAACTTTACTCGTAGCATGAAAAGCATTATAATATTTAGTGTATCATTTCTAAAATTTTGCGGCACACTTTAACAATTAGAGGCACACAAAAGTGGCGCGGCACAGTGTTTGAGAATCACTGGTGGAATCCTCATACATTCCTGTATCGTTATGAGAGAATTCGATTCGAGGAATCATAATAGATTTCATAATATTGTTATGCTCTTCTAACAGCAAAATTTTTCTTCTATTGTTGGATGCATTTTTTCTGATGAACGGTGTGTTAAATCAGCTGGAGGAAAATTAGTCACTGAGTTTGAAATTAATTCTTTTCATTATTTTAGCCAGGGAATTTTTTTTAGATGAATGACTCATTTTACATTTTAAGCAATGGTTTGTCCTTAACGTTCAATTTTTCCATTAGTTTCTGGTCTATGGGCTGTAGTTAATAATTGTTTAATTTTACAATGTTTGAATTTTTTCTTTTTAAGAGAGAAGAAGTAATGACCTCTTTTCGATAAATCAAGTTTAATATAGGTTTTTGTCGTAACTGATTTAGATTCAAAAGACCACATATATCGAGTGTAATGAATAATTATATAAGATAAAAGATTTTTAGTGGAATTATAATAATTAAAACTACCTACACTGTCCACTGCAATTATTTCAAAAGGTTTGTCATCTGGAGAGGACATGGTTTGTCGAAGGTTGCCTGAAGTAAATCATATCGCTTTTTGCCAAGAATAATAACAATGTTCATTAAAATTTATAATATCTGAAGTAAAACAGGAGAAATCAAAAGAAATGGAGCGAATACAAACAAAACTACTATTTAATGAAAAATAATTTATCCTTAAGATTAACACAGAATGTAGATGGAACATTTCTATGCGCAAGGAATACTGCGCATGCGCGAGTTCAAAAGTGGAAATGGCGAAGCATTCTGCTTGTAACAAATGTCATTCTATTAACACAGTGCCGAGAAGACAGTGATTTTTATCGATAAGATTAACATAGAATATAAATGGAACTTCAAAATTTTTTTACTGGGGAATTTCTTTACTCAAAATTTCATTCTTTTCTTAGCTGTAAGTGAAGCGGAATTCTGCGCATGCGCGAATTCATTATAGTGAAAATGGCGAATCCCCTGCATTTTTAACAATTATCATTCTGTCATTCACAGTGCAGAGAAGACAGCGTCACAATCAATAAGTAACAACATGCACAGATGTCATATAGGATTGTTGTGCAAAAGGTGACTGCACAAATGCTTCAGAATGAAATGAACCAAGTGTGACCAGGGAAGTCACATAGAATATCTGTGATGCATGATACAAAATGTTGAAGTTCCTTCGGTGTAAAACCTTTTTCATTAAATAGCTTTAACAGTTTGTTATCGCTCTATTCATTATGAATGACCCTGTTATTTTACCAATAATAAACAAGAGTAAGTAAATTAATTGTTTTTCGAACCCTAAAATAACCGAATGTTTTAAGAATAATTTCAAGTAATTTAAGAAAATAGAACAACAGTTTTGGTAAAACTCTTTTTACGTAAGCATAAAACATTATTAATTTCAATAAAATTTCCAATTAAATTATCATTTCGTTGGGCTTCGCGAATTTCGTCTAATTGCAAAACATGTGAAAAATGGCTAACATTACTTCAATCAATATTATTATCGTGTTCAATAGTGTCAGGAATATCTCGAGATAACATGTCGGCTTCAAAGTTTAAGATGCCTTTTGTGTATTATTATACATACTTAATTGTAAAGACCAGCGGAACATCCTAGCTTTTAGATTTTTTTACATTTTTTAGCCGCATGGTAAATTTATTGCCAAATAAATAATGATGAAATTTGTTTAATGCATCAACAATAGCGAGGCATTCCAATTCTGTGATTTTTCATAATTTTTCTCATAGTTCATGAACACTAAGTTGCCTAAGGAAGTCATTTTGACAGCTTTTAATTTCAATTAGGAAAACAATGATATATATAACGACACAATTTCTTAGAATTTTGTATAACATAAAATGTTTTTTATTGTTAATATTTACTAATAACTTGTTATATAATTGTAAATATTATAAAAAATATTAAAAAATATTTTTAAAGTAATTTCTTTACACATTATTTTTTTTTTACAATCCAGTCATTTTGACTGCTTTTGAGCAATATACTATATATACTAAGTTTCAGTCTTTCTAGTGTTAAAGAACGAGACTGAAATGCTATTGTGTGTGTCAGACACCCGAAACATCTGGCTGTTTCAAAATTGCTCCAACACCACTTTTGCGTCCACAAAAATATGACATTGTTATTTAGGTAGGTACTTAATTAACGTCGCACTAGAGCTGCACTATGGGCTATTGGCGACGGTCTGGGAAAAATCCTTGTAGATGATCCGAAGGCATGCCATCGCCACTTTTTATCCTCAGAGGGGATGGCTCCCCTGCTTTGGTAGCACGACAGCCTGCGCGCGAAGTGGAGCACTTTACTGTAGAGCAGTTTAACGAGGACCGATACCGCGCACCCTCGCTCCCTACGCAGGCTGATCAAAGGGGTCACCCACCCTCTTACTGACTGTAGCCAGTGATGCTTAACTTTCAGTATTCTACTGGGAGCCGTGTCTTTTCGATGCCGGACTGTAATTCAGGATTATATATTTTAAAAACAGGTTTACAAATTAAAGAATTATTCATGATTTCGAGTGCTTCTTGACATTTGGGAGTCAAATGTCAAGTTGTATCTTTTTTCAAGAGGTTCTTTAAAGGTGCTCTAATTTTGTCATAATTATTTATAAATTTAATATTCACATTTATTGAACTTAAAAAACGTTGAAAAGATTTAACAATAGTTGCAGGTTTAATTGCTTTCAATGTTAACAGGAAATACTCCTGTAATGGTTCGACACACGCTCCCTTTTGCAGATTTAATCGTGTGAGCTGATGAAGTGATTATATCGTTTCATTTTTCCCCCGGCTATTTATGATATATATATATATTTAAAAAAAATTTAAATATTTTTTTATTAAAAATTATTAATTTAATATTTCTTTCAAATATGAAATATTAAATGTGAAATATTAAAATATTTATTTTAAATATGAAATATTAAATGTGAAATATTAAAATATTTATTTTCATTAATCTGTATTATTTTCCATATTTTCTCTATATTTTTAATCTTTTTCTCTTTATTTTTAATTTATAATCTGTTTTTTTTTTCCGTTGAAAACCCATCCGCTTTAGTTCTGGATATCTCGTATATTTTCTCGAAAAATAAATCACGTGACCTTTCATCTGAATTAAAACGAAATACTGAATCTGACAAAATATTTTTAAGCGATGAATTAAAATTTTATTTACTTTTTTAAT